GCGCGTTTTTTGGGGACTACCGGTTGCATATCGGTGGGTACCCCACACGTTAATGGCCGCTTCGAATTCTTCAAGCAGGGAGAGGTATTGGTGGTTTAAGAAGTACTTGCAACCCTACACCCTATCCAACAGATCGTCTATTCGGGGCAGTGGTTCTACGTTCTTCACGGTGACAGCATTAAGACCTCCATAGTCTATGCACATACGTAGCTCTCCCTCCTTCTTGGGGACAAAAAGAACAGGTGCTCCAAATGGAAATGAACTGGGCCTAATCCAACCCTTTTCTAGAAGTTTGTCTAACTGCTTGCGCAACTCCTCTAGCCCCCATGGGGACATTCTGTAGACGGTTCCCTTTGGGGTCCTCAGGCTCTATCTCTATGCGATGCTGGACAGGCCGCTGCACTACTCTTGTAGGCGGCTTCGCTAAGACTGTATACTCCAACAGTTTGGCAATGGCTGGATCAATAGGCTCAGTAACAGGCCTAACATAGGCTACAAAAATTTGCTCCTCTAGTTGCTCTTTCTTCACCAATCGCGCAAACGCGGGAGCACTGAGACAGCAATGTGCCAGGGTGTTGTCTACTCCAGACACATGAAACAGGCGAGCAATCTTAACTTCGCCTGATGGACTAGGGAACCTACACTCGTGCTCTCTCAAGTGGAGTGTGGCCCATTCCCAGGATCATATCGAAGGGAATACTATCTTCTATGAGGAGAGTCAGGGAATGGAGAACTCTCCCTACCTTCCCATCTTTCTCTAGGCGAAAGTACGCCTGGACTCCCTCTACATAATCCTCGACTCGCATAGTGTCGTTGTCTGCGAGGATACTGAGTATGGGGTCTTATAACTTCTGGACCTTCAAATTTAACTTCAGCTTCTGCATCGCTTTCCTACTAATATAGCTGCGGGCGGCCCCACTGTCTATAAGGGCCCCTACTCTGCCTCTAAAGACCTCTACATACACTAGAACTAGTTGTCCTTTCACATCTTTCTTCATCTTGGCCTAGGCAGGCATTCTCTCTTTCAACTCTTCTGCCACGCCTGTGAGGGAAGTACCTAGAGAGACTTAACACAAGCAGTCTCCAGACAGCTAACTAGGCACTGACCAACAACCTTTGCCATAGACACATGTTGGTTGGGAGTTTCTCTATGGTGTGTGCACTCTTCTCCACATGGTCTAGAGGTAAGGGCAGTTGCAGCCGCTACCGACGGTTGCCTTTTGCTGCATGTGCAGCAAATCGGGCCTCTCTATACTTAGGGAAGTATTTAATAATATGTCCAGGATCACCGCAATAAATACCTTGATCCTGGTTTATTCTCTGCTGCCACACTGTTTTCTCTAGGCCCAGGTCTTCCCAAGGCCTGCCTTGCGGCAAGTCAGGGTGCCATCCACCCCTCCTGGGAGGTGATCGGTTGTAACCAGAGCGGTTTTGCGGGGGACCTTGACCCCTACCTCTCGCTTGGCGGTCTCCTCTGCCACCAACCCCCTGATCGCCCTGTCCACGACCACCGGAGGCCCGACCCCCTTGGCCCTGGCCTCCTTCTCTTCCTTGCGGCCTCCCTCCAACCGCGACAGCAACGTAAGTCCTCCCTTGACTAGTGCTATTGTCCTCTTCCTCTAGGACCCACTCTATCTGATCATATGGGACCTCCTCCATACCACCCTCATCGAGTGTAAGGATCAGGTGATCCTTGCCCTTAACCTAACCCGAGATGGTACGGCCTTCCACTTCTTACCCTTGTCAAGGTCCTTATGCCAGAAAGTGGAAACTGGCATGGACTGCGCTTCAAACGTTACCACTTCCCTACTCAGAGTATCGTAGGTCATGGTAGACTCCTTACTCTTCTCAAAGAAGTGCACGTGCAAAGGTTCGGGCATGGCACGATAGAACAGGTTGACCAACTGAGTCTCAGTAACCCCATGGCCAGGAACAACTACCAACTCATCCACAACTCCTTTGAGTGCTCTAGCACTCCGCCATTGGCGGGAATGGATGGTCTACAGTTTGTCAGAAGCTCTAACACTTCGCGTGACATCTGCAAACCTCTCACGCAGTAACTTAAAGAAGTCACTGAGGAATCACCTTCGACATAAAAGAGATTGCGAACAGTTTGGTGTGGCAAGAAAACAACATCATTATGTAAGAAATCAGTAACATCAGCCATAACATGGACCATAATGTCGTTGTCCAATAGGTGGTTAGAGGTATGTACAATGGCCATGCCATGGCCAGGTCCGTGCACAATGGAGACAGAGATGTGGGATGGAGGATTAAACCACTAACTTGCTTGAGCATTGCGTAGCTCAAGTTGGTGGTCCCTCATTGCTACTTGTAGGACAATAATGGTAAAGCCTCTTTCCCCGGTATAATTACAATCCTCTGGCTGTAGGCGGGGGTGATCAACATCAAGCTTAAAGGCGGTTCCAAGGAAGTCTGATGGTGTATAAAACAGGCAGTGGAGAATGTGAAGGCAGATAGTTGCAGTCAGACCGCAAAGATTGGTGAGGATCTAAGGCTGGTGTTCAGGATGCTGGCCAACAATTTGCCTATCACTTACAAGCCCAAAATGTATTGGGTTGCTTGCTGGTCAGTCATTTGCAGATCACCCATGTGGTCTGTGTGCGGTGGGGCACGAATTTGTGGTTTATTCAAACAATGTGGGCCAACCATTTGCAGATCTCCCATGTGGTCTACACCTTGTGGGGTTAACTGCAATCCGGGCAGATTATGTTCCAATCCCTCTACGTTTGGGGCCGCATCCCAAGTAGGGAATGCCCCTGGAATCGGTCGTATACTCTCGACAGGGACCACATCCTGTTGTACAGGTGAGTCGTGAGTATATACGCTGCAGGGCATAAAACATGGTGTTGTGGCTGCCTGCAGGCAGCTGGACTGTCTACAGGAGGCATAGGAGCACATGGAAGACCTAGCTAGCATTCTCGGTACATGGAAGACCTAGCTAGCATTCTCGGTACAACAATTACCACAACAGCTGGCATTGAGCATGCCCACCTTGCACTCCCGACAAATGGCATGTTGATTGCAGGCCAAAATAAAGGAAGAACGTTCACCACAAAATACCATGCATTCAGTATTGCACTCATTACCGCAAAATGGACATATAGTGTTCAGATGCGGAGGGTGCCTGCAGTCAGGAATGGAGGAACAGTCCTCTACACACATGGATGCGAAAACCACGTCATTGTAGTGATTGTGACAGAGACGATGGCGGCTACAGCCGAGTGTAACAGTGTTTGTAGCTGTGCAAAGGAGAAGGTTGCAGAGTGTCGGTACAATGTCCTGCTGCAGCACAGGGCCAGAGGAATGATCTCCGACATAAAAGAGATTGCAAACGGTTTGGTTTGGCCAGAAAACAGCATCATTATGTAGGAAATCAGTAACATCAGCAGCATATATGACTAAAAGAACACACATAACCCAACATTTTTTTATTGAAAGGACACACATAATCAATTATTAATCATACTTACGGCAACATTTATTGTTTTGATCCTGGAGAATTTCGAAGTACACATTCATAAGAAAGTACAATGCCATCCAATTGCAAAAAGAAATGAATGAACTTGAGAGGAGAGAGAGGGTAAGACGAAGAAGAAGATGGAAGAAAGAAGAAGAGGAATATGTACACCAGCAAAGAACAATGGTAATCCCCTTCTCCTCACCAATCACTCTCCTCCTCTTTCTCTCCCCCCCTCTTATTCAAACAAGAAATAACAATAATAATGTTGGATGGCTGAACCAGAATCAATGTCTGAATCCCTCTTCTACTGCAGGTATAACATGAGGTCCACCATAGCCATGGCCGCCCTTCTCCTTCCTCTTCCTGCAGGCCAACGCTATGGTGGACTACCAGGGCCTTGCCCTGATGTGCAAAAGGCCACTCAGAACAGCTATGGCTGCTCTGCTCAGCCCGCCATGCCTGACTCTGCCTCAAAGCTTCTTGGTGTAGCTCTAACCCTGCTGGGGCCTTCTTGCTGCAGCATCCACCAAGGTATGAAGACGGCAACCACCACAGCCAGGTAAGTACCTCTGGCGCTCCCCCTTCCTAGTCGTTGTCTTCCTCCTCCTCACCCGCACTCCTTCCCCAGCAGCGCTGCTCCAACCAGTGTGTCACCAAACTTGCACACCGACAATAAGGAGGAGCATTTCATCCCTCCTGGAGATATAGCGGCCTTCTTGCCTCTTGGCAAGTGACTTCCTAGGCCGCACGGCCTCCAAGCAACCAGTACCTCCTCCCTTTCGGAGGAAACATCATTGCAGACTCTGATATTGCCCGTACAAGCCCTAGAATCAGACTGGTTGGCCTGGTACCCGCCTAGACCTAGCCTACAACCACTGGGCTTCTAAAAATGCCAACTTTGTCTTCTTCTGCTCGGCCTCGAGTACCCGGCACATCTACCTCTTCCTGGTGTGGTACTGGCCTACCTGCTACTTGAGTGTTTTTCCACTGCTCCAAGTGTCGCGGGCCTCTTTTCCCGCCACTTGAGTGTTTTCCTCGCAGCAACCCTCAATGTCACGGCCACAGGTAAGTACCGGCCCTTTGGGCCTTCTGCACGGACAAGTACCCTTGCGGGTCATACACACACTCAAACCAACAAGCACTCAGACAGGCATGCAGGCCAGCAAGCACACACACACACTCAGACTTAGAAAACTCAGCAACAAGCGGGAAACTCAGCAAGGCATACATTCCATTGGCAAAACTCAGAAATCAGCTGTGTGTCTCAGTCCGTGTTTGGGCAGGTCCTAACATTATAGTACTTTCTACACGTGACCTCCTAATGTGCGTCCTCAACTCAGGCCAATGAAGGGGGGGGGGAAGAGAAAATGTACCACCTCCTTAATGAGTGCAATGACACAGTGTGGGCAGGGGATTTCCCTATGTCCAATTGGGGGATACCCAGTACCGCAGAACTGTAAGGTCGTTAGAGAAATGTGAAGGATGTTTATTACCTCAAAAAGCAGCTTTGAGTGATTCTGCAATCGAATACGTTCTCCATTTGGCAGTGTGAGTAATTTGTTGTCGTCCATGACACTATTCATATTTTCAACCCACAACGCATCCACGTCCCCATCAAAAACCAAGTACCTCCTCTCCTCTTTCTCCGTTGGAAGCGCCTTGTTAATCTCTCTGAATATGCTTGACAACAGACCATCCGTCCAATCTCGCGTGTCCGGATCTAAAAATCCAGTCAATAACAAATCGAGTTTCATCTGCACTCAGACTGCTGTGAATACTGTCCCTTTTTTTTGTGTGAGTGGATGTTTGTCTTTATGTTTGTGTGTGAGTGCTTGTGGGCAGACATTGGTGATTGCTGTAAAGCTTATTACCAAACGCCCGATGTTGAACTCAGTCCTGTCCAAGCAGCAGCAGCAGCTGTGCAAATATGAATGCTGTTTTGCAACAGAAACGGCTGGATATGTCTTGGCACATGACGTTTGATGTTGTTCAGCCAGTAGAAGAAGTGCCATTCCGTTGTCACATCCCAGCACTTATTGAGTTATTAACTTATTACCATTGTAAGTTGTAACAGTGATAATATCCAACACAGCCTGCTGTTCAAACTGTAATAGTCCTGCCATTTTCATTGGTATAACACTGAAACAGCCATTCAAGCAGTTGTAGTAGTGGCATTTCTTCAGTGCTTTCCGGGATGTCCGCCCGACAACCGGGCCAAGCGTCCGACTGGAGCCCTCTGTACGAACCTACATAAAAATATCTAATTTTTTTATTTTTATTTTTATTTTTCTGTGGATTCTTCTGCAGATAAGGCATATGCCCATAAATTTTTGCGGCATTTTGATAAGTAGAAAAACAAACTAAAAATCGCCAGAGATGGCGGTGTGAAAAATATGCTCTCCAAGTCTCTATTTCGTTTTTTCAACTTTTTTGAAGTTTTCTGTTTTTCTTTTCCCTGTTTCTTTTATTTTAGGGCTTTTTTTGTTTTCAAAAAAAAATTCTTGTGGGTTCTTTGCATGGTAACTGTCCGGACGTCCGGACCGCGTTCCAGACAGTCCGTTGTCCGGTGTCCGGTGTCCGGTGTCTGGTCCTGATGTCCGGATGGAGGCCCCTGGGGAGAGAAAAAAAAAAGAAAAGGGGGCGGCCCGGGACGTTTATCGGGTCCTGGCCGCCCCTCGAAAAATAACAGGGTGATTTTTCAGTGTCATTTCACCCCACTGGACAGGGCCTAGGGGTCCGGACACAAGACACTGCAGGTTTCTGGGGTGG